CAACAAGACTGAGAACAAACGGCCGGCAGGCCAACTATATACACAGCCAGGGGGCCACCCCTGGGTCCCATTGGTGGGTTTGAATTTCCCGCCATGGTTCCCATTGGTTCCCCCAGTGGAGGGACTAGGATCCTAGTCCCCATTGTTGTCCAAGACTGAAGCTCAGGCGTGTGCGCTGACCTCCAGTGGCGGTCAGTGGACACAACATGAGGCAAAAAAAAATAAAAGTTTAAAACTGCATACACTCATGGACAAAATTTGGCATGAGTGAAAATAAAGACTCAGGAGTTCAGTTTGCATGAGCCAGTTTGGTGTAGTGGTGAAGTGCGTGGACTCTAATCTGGGAGAACCGGGTTTGATTCCCCACTCCTCCACTTGCAGCTGCTGGATGACCTTGGGCAAGCCGTAGTTCTGATAAGAGCTGTTCTTGAAAAAAGAGCAGTTTCTGTCAGAGCTCTGTCAGCCCCACCTACCTCACAGGGTGTCTGTTGTGGGGAGGCAAAAAATAAAGTTTAAAACTGCATACATTCATGGACAAAATTTGGCATGAGTGAAAATAAAGACTCAGGAGTTCAGTTTGCATGAGCCAGTTTGGTGTAGTGGTTAAGTGCGTAGACTGTAATCTGGGAGAACCGGGTTTGATTCCCCACTCCTCCACTTGCACCTGCTGGATGACCTTGGGCAAGCCATAGTTCTAGCAGAGCTGTCCTTGAAAAAGAGCCATTTCTGTCAGAGCTCTCTCAGCTCCGCCTGCCTCACAGGGTGTCTGTTGTGGGGAGGGGAAGGGAGAGGAGCTTGTAAGCCGCTCTGAGACTCCTTTGGGTAGTGAAGGGGGTATAAATCCAATCTCTTCTTCTTCTTTTACCTCACAGGGTGTCTGTTGTGGGGAGGGGAAGGGAGAGGAGTTTGTAAGCCGCTCTAAGACTCCTCTGGGTAGTGAAGGGCGGGGTATAAATCCAATCTCCTCTTCTTCTTCTTCTTCATGAGGGAGAAGCAAAAATCGAAGCTGGGATTTCCACCCCCACCCCCCAATTGAAACAGCAGGGCTGCAGAATTTGTCTGCCTCTCTCACCCATTGTGGCCCCGTGGCCCTCCTTGCTAATAGGGTTGCCAGTCTCTAGGTGGAGCCTGGAGATCTCCGGGAATAACAATTGAGTGGGCAAACCTATTTGTTAATGAAGAATCTCTTTGTCATCTACTAACAGGCAGCCCTTGCTGTGTGGATCACAATTCTTCGCTTCATGGGGGACCTTCCAGAACCGAAATACCACACGGCGATGAGCGACGGCAGCGAGAAGATTCCGGTGATGACCAAAATTTACGAGACCCTCGGGAAGAAGACGTACAAGAAGGAGCTCCAAGCCTTGCAAGGCGAAGGAGAGGTAACAGCCCTGCCGGCAAAATCAGCAACAACGTATTTCTGCCCTTGTTCGACAATCAGTGTCCAGAAACCAAGATTTTCCACAAGTTTTCTTGATAGTCCTCTCCCCAAATATATATGTTGCTCTCCAGTCTTCCCTTCTGCCAGCCCTACAGTGTTCTCTCTAAGATGTAAGAGCCAGTTTGGTGTGGTGGTTAGGAGCGCGGACTCTAATCTGGGAGAACTGAGTTTGATTTTCCCACTCCTCCACGTGCAGCTGCTGGTGTGACCTTGGGTCAGTCACAAGTTCTCTCAGAGCTGTTCTTGAAAGAGCAGTTTCTCTCAGAGCTCTCTCAGCCCGACCTACCTCACAAGGTGTCTGTTGTGGGGAGGGGAAGGGAACGGAGATGGTAAGCCGCTCTGAGACTCCGAGTGGAGAGTGGGATATAAATCCAATCTCCTCCTCCTCCTCCTCCTCCTCCTCCT